TGATATACAAATTCTAGTACGCATGCATTTCTTTTTGAACTCAGTTACAATGCGATTGGCTGTTTGTAATAATAATTCGAAAATGGAACACATAAATTTTCAAGCCTGTGTTCTTTTGTTTTTCGTGAGTTTCATTTTCGTTTATTTGCAATTTTTGTTAATTTACTCACCATGGCGCATCAAAATAAAATAGATTTAATGTAAGATTACTTTATGAACCATAAAGACATATCATTAGCTTAGCGGTGGTACCGCAAAAGATATCCTGATAGAGACAAATCTTCTCGAAATGTGTTTAAATAATGAAAGAAAAATAGAGAAAGATTTTTGATAAGCCATGGTAAGTAAATTAACAAAAAATTGCAAATTAATGAAAATGAAACTCACAAAAACAAAATAAAAAACCCTTGAAAATGTATGTGTTCCATTTTCGAATAGGCTAGTTGACTCATGTCAAATTGCACTATACAAATGTTTATTTCTAATAATTTTTGGTATGAGGAACCTAAATACATCGATTTCACTTCATAAAATTAGAAGATGGCTGTAGTAATTTAATTTGAAAAATAGTTTTTAGTCTATGTTTTTTAAACACTAAAAACGCTGTCCACCATGATTGTGACGTCAACATAATAGCAAAACAACTAAACGTCATTGTCATGTTACTGTGGTTTCTTTCGTCCGACTAAAATATATCTAAAAACTCTTATATCTTGAAGAAAAGTTTCCGTTTATTGGTTTTCTTAATTAAATTAATGCTGGACGCCGGATTTGTGAAAGCAGAAACGACAAACTCTTTGACTTAGCAGGTACATTCATAACCTTAAAAATTGAAACCACAACATTTCTGGGATTTTATACGATGTGTTTCTTTATTCTCGTATAATACAATCATGATAATTACTATATTTATCATGCAATCTATTAGAAATCGTGGTTTTGTAATGTAAATTCAGATAGGTTATATCCTACGTGCTTGCGAGTGTTTGTTTACTATTGTTCCCGTCATACCATAGATAATCTATAGACTAAAATGGCCGACAGCGTTTTTGTATGTCCATGAAAAATCTATTTTAAAATTAAAGTTTTGTAGCTTTGTAGGTAAAAAAAATTACAATACATTTTTTTTCGGTCTAATTGAACAATTATTAACCATTAAAAACATATTTCCAAAAAGTGTCAACTAGCCTATTATTATTATAAATTTCTGCCTGCCAGTCACATTGTAACTGTAAGTTCAAAAAGAAATGCATATGTACTACAGTTTGTATATCACTTTATTATTTTTATCACGTAATTCACATTCCTTTCATTTAAAATGCTTTGTTATTTAGCAAAAAATAATCTTTATGACTAACCCTTTCGATGGTTATAATAAAATATAACGTGTTATTTTCTTCGAAATTTCTCGAGTTTGATTCCCAGCTGTAGCAAGCGATTTTAAAAAAAATCTGTGATTGCAGTTATAGTTATTATTAAAAATAAAATGATGTCATCTTTCAGTAAAATGTCCTCAATATTTAATATACTTTCCCTCCGTGTGAGGTAGCCGTGGGGCGCCCAGTTTATGCAGCACTTGGCTAATTTAATTCACCAGATTAGATCTATTCAAAACCTTAAAGAACAATTATCTCCTTTAGAGGATTTGTTACACATAGATTTTTCAGAAAACTATAATTGCAAATACAGTGCTGAAGTACAATCTGCTCACTTCGGTGGTTCAAAGCCCCAGTTATTTCTGCACACATGCGTATACTATAACAAACACCTACAGGCTCCAGATAGTGGTTTTAAGACGACATCAATTTGCACTATATCAGAAATTTCGCGACATGATCCAGTTATGATATGTGCTCATTTTAGACTTGTCTTCCATAGAATCCAAGAAATAATTTTAACAGATTTACATATACTGAGTGCCGGCCCAACCACACAGTATAGAAATTAGTTTACGTTATAATTGATTGCAAATTTTTTGGGTCAAGCGTTGAATTATCTTAGCAATATTATTTGGCACTACAGTGAAAAAGGTCATGGCAAAGATGCTCCTGATGGCGTCGGCGGCTGTGTTAAGAGACTGTGTGATATTTTAGTTGCAATGGGATAAGACGTGTCCAATTATGAAAGTCTCATGACGTGCTTAAAGGAGACTTTTAAAGGTATAAAGATTTATAGAATTTGTGAATCCAATATTCAAGACATTCAGGAACTTATCGATCTGACTACAATAGAAGAAATTAAAGGGATATTGAAGATACATCAACTTTCTTGGAGTTGAAACGGGCCAAAAAATTTACACGCTAGACGATTAACTGTCTGTCTGTCTTGCTCAACATAAACGATTTATTTATTTTGAGATCGGGCAGATAGCAGTTCAACATAAAAGGACCGTATCCAATTCTCCTTCATGCTCTGTGTCTCGTAAAGGCGCCTTGTCACCCATAAGTCTACCGACATTTGAAGAAACCACAGATACTTTAAGATCTGACTACATAAAAGCAAGGGAAGGCGTTTATCAAAGCTTGCCTGACTGTCCTAAAAAAAGATTGCGAGAAATCTTCGATTCTGATGAGTCTGGTATTTTTTCTTTACGCTATGGCGTGTGGTTAGTGTACTAAACAAAGAATAATAATTCCTTTCCCAGATAGTGACGACGAAGATTCTACATTTTAAATAAAACACTAATTGAGATTGATGTAATGTTTATCGCTGATTGTTATTTTTTTTTTAATAATTTTTGTTGTTACCTATGTTTAATGTCAACGGAAAAGAAATCACTACCGTGGACAAATAATTTTCATTTATTTAAAGTTATTAAGAGTTCTAAAACATTTTTCATTTGAATACACTGTCATCATTATTATGTATATATATCGGGGGAGTGAGACGAAGGTATGTGGTACTCCTCACAGCTCATTATAGCAAAGCCTTGGTCCGGGTGAAATGGGCCAGAAAAAACCAGACAATACTCCTGCACCGGTCACAGGCCATCCTCAATGACCTCGTTAGCCAGGGATTCCCCGCCGTAGCCTTGCCCCCGTACGCTCGTGATATTTTTAAATCCGACTTAACAGTTTGCGGCCTCTCTAAGGTCACTGTAGAGCTAGCTCACCGCCGCGGTACTCTTGGCCAGTGTCATCGCTGTCAGCTGCGTTAAGTGCCTCGATCCCCATCCGACGCGCGAATGTGTTCGAACTCGCGACTCCCCAACATGCGGCCACACAGCCAACTTCAAAAACTGTCCCAAAGCCCCGCGCCCACATTCCAACACTAAGGCGTCGGGCACACTGCACGCGGTCTAGCGGTCAGAGTTCCGAGTTCTGCGTTCCGCGTTCTCTGTAACCTACGTGGTGACTTAGAATTCGTCACACACAAAAACAGTCGGACCGCGACGTTCAAAGTGAACGCACGTTCTGGCAGAGTTCTACTTTTGTCGAAAACAAATTCAAACACGATGTCCGACGATATCGAACATTTTATAGAGTTGGTGAGAGGGAAACCTTTCCTTTATGATTTGAGTGACGAGGGCTATAAAAATCGTCAAAAAAAGGCAAATGCTTGGACGGAAATTGCCCAAGAAATGGGTAGAGAAAATAGTAAGTAAACAAATTTGATTTTAAAGTGTATTTTATTTGTTAACTGTTGCTTATTTCACTATTGTTTATTTATAGGGACAATTCAGGCGGATCACAAACACACGACAACGCAGCGACATAATGTGGTCACGTTCTATATTGAATAGATAATCTATAGTACAATTTGTATTGACAAATTGTACTTGTTACTACTTGTCTTTTCGTTGTCGCGAGGTTGTCGTCCGTGTGGGATGATCCTATCTACATATGAAGAAGCATGTTATATGCAATGTATCTCGTCAACAATGTCTCATTCTAAATATTTAAATTATAAAGAATTAAAGTACGATATAAACTCCTCACGCACTGCATATGCCGATAAGTTTGTTCTATCGCGGTTTAAGCTTAACGAGCCCAAAGCGCGAACATTTTGACATGCATTCATGATTTCGTCGTTATCACGTACAACATTATCTTGCTTATTGATAATTAAGTAGTTATGTAGTTATGTCCTTACATCCAGCATCACGTACTATACAAGTACATTCAACCAGCACATGATAAACATTAATATACCTAAAGTATTACTTTGTAATGAATGTCCCATTGTTCACAGATAAGTTTAACAAAGTAAGCACAAAGGACATCCTGTAACGTTCCCCGAATTCATTATAGATTAGCCAAAACAACACGTGATATCACGTGGGTGTAAGAACATATAAATATGGATCACGTCCTGCGAGACGCCATTCCGATTCCCAACTCAGTCTGGATCATTAGGTTAGGCTCAATCCTGAGCATAGTTATAAGTACTAATGTAAATTTTATTGATTAATAAATTTATATTTTTTTGAAGTCTTCTGTTCCAACCAACTTGACTGGCGCAGCCGGTAGGATCTCGCGTCGCGGTCGTAATCAAGAAATCGATAAACGATAACAAAAGACGCGCATCGCGATCAATATTTCTATATTGCAACGGCGAGATCTACGAACAAGAAATAAGTCAACGTGAAGAACAGCAAGACTTCAAGGAGCATGGCACGGGAAGCATTGTAAGTACAAATCCTTACCAGCAACCTGTCCATTTGTCCAAACGGTAGTGTTTTTCCGGCACCAATCGCGGAATACATATTGCCTGTAGCGTTTTTCCGACAAAACTCGCGGAATACGTATTACAATTTAGTTTAAGAATATTTTTTTGAGAGAAAATTATTGAATCAAAAGTAAAATAATAATTGCGTAATAAAGAATCTAACGAAGTTCGACAAAAATCGCGAACTTAAACGTTATTTGTCTTTTCAATATTTTATATTTAAGAAACATTTTGTAATTTCATATTAATAAAGGTTCGACAAAAATCGCGAACGTGAGTTAATTATAGATTGAATATTTAAATTTTATTTTATAAAAATAGTATATCTTATTATAAATCATAAAAATGGATCAAATTCGTACAATTCCCAACGAAATATTAAACATTATCCCTAAATTTGGAGGAGAACAGAAATCACTAAATTTCTTTTTAAGAAAATGTGAATACGTTATACGATCATTTAGAACGATTGAATCACCTATACAGGACTTGTACGTGTTTCATTCAATAACAAGTAGATTAGTAGGCAAAGCAGCCGAATTGTTAAGCGAACGCGAAGATGTGGAGACATGGGATGAATTAAGAACGTTACTGTCTCAACATTTCGGTGATCCGCGATCAGAAGCATGCATAGCTATCGAGCTAGAGACAATAAAGATAAAACCTAACGAAAGTCTCACGGAATTGTGCCATCGTATCCAAAATACTAGGAGCGCGTTAATATCGAAAGTTAACTTGATTAGCGATCAAGGAATAAAAGCCGCGAAACTAATCATTTATAATAATACGGCGTTAAACGTGTTCTTATATAATTTACCGGAAGATATGATCAGGATTGTACGTCTGAAAGGGTGTACAACGCTCGAAGAAGCGTTAAGCATTGTAACGGAAGAGGAAAATTTCCAATTCCAATACAATAGCAAAAACAAGAAAACAAATACTATAAAACCGCTATTACCTCAATTATCTACTTTTAGGCCAAATTTCATGCCTTCGCCAACGTATAAATTTGGCATCCCTCAGAATAAACCGCAGCAAAACTTTATGCCTACAAATAAGTTCAATACCCCAAATAATAATTTTAAATTCGGCATTTCAAATCAACTTAACAGACAACCTGCCCCTCCGGCACAAAATAATTGCAGGCCTGTAGCGCCAAGCAACCCCAATTTCAGACAGTTCGGAAATAACTTTCCATACAATCCACAACAAAGAAGGTTCGGATATTTTAACAATAACACCAACCCTCAATTTAAATTCGGTGTTAATAACCCGCCATTAGCACAACGACCTTCATATAACGTTAATACAGACGTTTCCATGCGATCAGCAGCGCCCATAAGGCAGAATATGATAAATCCTGAAACGGAACAGGATATATATTTCAATCAGATGTATGAACAACAGGAATATTATGATGAGGAGGAGTATAGCGAACAACCATACGACCCTGAGAGCACTTATTACGAACCCGCAATAGAGGAATTAGATAACGAAGAAATAAGTGACGAAAATTTTCAAATAAAGGCCTCTACGGAAACGAAAGTGAAATAATAAATTTAAACTTTGACGGAATATTTAAACTACCACATATACACATACCCGAAATAAACGCGAAATTTATGATAGATACAGGAAGTAGTAGATCTTTCATTAGCCCTGGAAAAGTAAAACAATATACTCAGCAATTAGTTAGGGAACATGTAAAACGAACAAAATACTTATATGATTATATAAAAAACAAAATAATTCACAACAAAGAAATAATACGCGAAACACGTGGTGGCGAAAAAGAATTCCCAATGGAAATAGGAGACGTAGTTTTCACTAAAGGCGTTAATGTCAGACGACCTAAAGATAAACCGCGATATCAAAAAGCGCAAATAATAGGTGAAATCGAACGTAATATAATTCCTGTAAAAACATCAACTAGAAAAACAAAAATACCAATAAAAGATATTAAACGTCCTCCGCAGGTACGTCCTTCTGCTGACTCTCCAGCTGAACCACGGCCTGGCCCTTCACATCGAAAAGATTGAAAGGAATCCAGGGATCCTCCCGATAAAGGAAGGCACAGCCCTTGTTAGCTACGAAAGATGGATAGTAGTTAAAACCTTAGATTTAAGTTTGATAAGCAAAGATTTAGATTATAATACAAATAGCTATAGGAATTTCTTAAACACCATAATCAATAATTATAAGATAGGAGATGCTACTGAATTTCATGACATCACAACCCAAGTAAACAAAATAAAAGCATTAGCCACCGAAAGGTGTAGACAACTAATACCAGCCAGCGGAAATAGGAAAAGAAGAGGTCTTATTAACCCATTAGGTTCAATCGTAAAGGCACTCACAGGTAATCTGGATAACGATGATGCAATTAAGTATGATAAATTGATAAGAACATTAAAAACCAAGCAAGAAGCAATGTTGAAGAAAATAACATTATTAACTGAAATAGCGAGCACGGTAACAAACAATACTAACGCAACACGTAACAATTTTGTCAAGATTTATAAAGAAATAACTTATTTAAAAAACAGAAGTAATAACCAATCCAATAGCTTACAATTGGAATTCAAAGTATTAAATGTATTTAATATATTTTTACATAACTTCCAAAACATACTGATTAAAATTGACGAGATTGAGACAGCGATTGCGTTTAGCAGAGTCAAGGTTTTACATCAGTCAATTGTAAATAATAGAGAACTATTAGAGGTGTTAAAGGAAATAGAAAAGACAGAATCACTTGTATATCCAGCAAAGGCTAAGAATCTTGTAAAAATAGAACAAATCATAGAATTAAAAGCATATTTTAAAGAAAAACAAATAACGTTTATCCTTAGCATACCTTTGGTGATCAAGGAACCGTATAATTACTACCGAATCCTCCCATTACCTGTCCTCAACAAAAATAATGTTACAACCATAATCTCCCCTAAATACCCTTATATGCTGGTAAAGGATATGAAAACACGATCGCTTTCCCAGCCATGCCAGGAGCTCGACGAGAACTTCTACCTATGCCAGGAGGAAAATCTTCATTATCACACGCGAGACGAATGTGTATCCAGTCTTCTCAGATTTGAAGCCCAGATTACCACCTGTGAACCAGTCTCAATAGAAATCAAGAATTTAGTAATCCACCCAATATACTCTAACAAATGGATGGTATATTCAAACAACATTGTCACGCTAAAACAAATATGTAATGGCGAAACATCAAAGAAAAATCTCCGTGGAACGTACATTATCACTATGGATGAGAATGGAAATTGTGAAGCATCTATAAGAACAGTACAACTAAAGAAACATCATACGAAAGGAAAATCGATAGAATACAGTAAAACACCCAAGATGGATTTACCCGAATTATCACACATGAAAAATGAAATTCCTATGAAACCTGTCAATTTGGATGATGTAAACTTGGAAAACTTACAGTTGCTGACTTATGCCTTAAGGAAGCAAGAATATCAAGACACCGACGTGGAAACAGTGAATGTGAAAAGCATTAGTATAGGAACTTTAATTTTGTATCCAGTTATAATTATAATTGTAATAACCTGTATAACATATAAATATAAAAATCGTAAAATTCGAAATCGCCCGAAAAAGGTAAATTCGGAGGATTTCGAACTTAAGGAGGGAGGAGTTATGTCCTTACATCCAGCATCACGTACTATACAAGTACATTTAACCAGCACATGATAAACATTAATATACCTAAAGTATTACTTTGTAATGAATGTCCCATTGTTCACAGATAAGTTTAACAAAGTAAGCACAAAGGACATCCTGTAACGTTCCCCGAATTCATTATAGATTAGCCAAAACAACACGTGATATCACGTGGGTGTAAGAACATATAAATATGGATCACGTCCTGCGAGACGCCATTCCGATTCCCAACTCAGTCTGGATCATTAGGTTAGGCTCAATCCTGAGCATAGTTATAAGTACTAATGTAAATTTTATTGATTAATAAATTTATATTTTTTTGAAGTCTTCTGTTCCAACCAACTTGACTATGTAAACAACACGCTGCTTTAACAATATCAACTGTTGTATTTACATCTAACTCAATTACAGACAAGAACAACCTCCATTTATGGGCTAAAATCCCAAACGTACTTTCCACAATTCTTCTAGCACTGCTAAGTCTCTTGTTATATTTACGTTTTCTCTGGTCACGTGCTGCGATGACAGTTGAAAATGGGCGCATTAAAAATTTTTCTAATTTAAAACCACCATCGCCAAGGAAAACATGGGGTATTGGACGTTCCTTTTCTGGCAAGGGTTTCGGTTCGGGTATATTCAGCTGATTATTGATAAGTCTTTGATAAAATGATGACTTCTGAAAAATTGTACTGTCACTGTCCTTTCCGTAACTACCCACATCGATCATTGTGAATTTATAATATGGGTCGACAACAGCAAGCAATACAATAGAGAATCTTTCTTTGTAGCAGAAATGTAGTGAACCACTGTTCTTAGGGCATTTTATATAAACATGCTTCCCATCGATGGCTCCTATACAGTTAGGAAAACCCCATCTAACACGAAATTCTTGTTCACATTCTTTCCACGTTGTCTCGGTAGGTAAAGGCATACAAATTGGTTGCAGTACAGACCAGACAGCTTGACTTACTTCCTTTATAATTTTAGCGACAGTTGAATACCCAATTCTATACGAATATGCTATTGTTTTGTAATTATCCCCTGTTGCAATAAATCTGAAACAAAGACGATTTTATTTTCAGGTGATTACTGGAGTTCAAAGTGGAAGACGCTTAAGGATAACTATAACAAGTTTAAAAAAAACAAAACAAACGTCAACAGGTCAATCCTACAAAAAATATAGAAATTGGCCCTGGGCTGAGTTAATGAGGTTTTTAGATGATGTTTCATATCAAAGGACACCTGCCTCAAATATAAACTTATTAAGTCCAAATACAACGCAGAATTCTGATTCGGTCAGTAATCCTTCAGAAGACATATCCCTTGATGAGGTTGAACATAACCGTACCCCTAGTTTCCAAAATGCCATCTTTGAAGATACTGAGAACAGCCGTGATTCTGAATCTCAAAATTCTGAAAGTAGCCGTGCATCCAGTTCTCATGGACCTATTCGGAGTGAGAGACTACAACTGAGAAGACAGATAATTAGTCCAGAAACACAAGCGGTGCTTGATTATATTAAAAAAAAAGAGTCTCAAGTAAATAAAAAAAGCTACGATGAAGTAGATTTATTTTTCTTGAGCTACGCACAAAATTTCAAAAGATTACCAAGAAGGAGCCAAGCTTTATTGAAAATGGATATAGCAGGTCTATTTACTCGATATGAGCTGCAAAATGAAAACTGTAACACTGAAAATATGGCCGTTCAGAGTAACCCATCAGTATCATCGGATCATAATCCAAGCATCCAAACATTGACAAGACCTGATGATAGAGCTCGCGACTACTACGAGGCTGTATCGCAATCAATTTTGGTAACTGGGGACTACACTAATGATAGTACAGAATTTAATTTGTAATTACTTACACAAATTAGCACACAATTTAATAAAACTTACCTTAAAAATATTACCAATCTCTCTTTTGCACTTATAGCCCTTCTAAAGTTAGTATCCGCTTTTTGTATGTAATTATTTAACATATCATACAATTCATTAAAACACTGAATTGACATTCGGAAGTACATGTAAAATCTTTCTTCATCCTGAAGCAGTTTGGGAAATAAAGTAAAGAATTCTCCATCGCGTTCTCTCAATTCATTAATAGGATGCACCCAGTACTTTCTTCTTTTCTTTGAACTTGCAAGGCTCCACAGTAACAGAATATTATCTTCCGAAGATGAACTACTATCGAGATAGAGTGACATTTTTAACAGAGTGTGTGTCGTGTCACCTCACCAGTGGCGAAGTTTACCTACTGAAATCCAAACTAGACCGCTCGCAGTGTGCGCAAGTATGAACGCGGAACGCAGAACTCGGAACTCTGACCGCTAGACCGCGTGCAGTGTGCCCGACGCCTAAGTGCCCGGGCACACAGAGAGTGGTCAGGAGTTCGGAGTTCTGCGTTCGGCGTTCATTTGAATGTACCGAGTCCATACCAACAACGCACATAGCGCGCAGTCAAACCGCGGCCGTCAAAGTGAAACGTCGCGTTCTAAGAGTTCTTTTCCCGCTGAGACAGGGAATGCCTGAACGCCGTAATGTCTGAGGTTGCAAACACAGAAAAAAATATTGAATCGGTTAGGGAAAGTGTCTGTTTCAAGTCCCTATGATCAGAGTTCCAGTTCGTGGACCGTTCTTAGCCCTGTTTCTCAAAAGTTTTCAAAACCTGCTAATTCATCTATTCAGAAAATAGGGTGTTTTACATCCTTTCACCACAATCAACTCCAACATTTCAAACAGCTAGTACACCGCAGCCGCAGTTGACTGAAAACCTATCAGAATATTACGAAAACATGTATTCGTTACTTATTCTATTAACAAATGATCTTTTCGTATATTTTGTTATTATTTTAAAAAACTGTAATGTTTTTCTTATCCTTATATAAATACATACCTTAAAAATACAGCCAGCCTTTCCTTTGATGGAACACAGTTCCTCCAGTTAGTATTGTGTAACTATTAATCGAGATT